CCAACGACGGAGGAAGGTAGTGTCGTGGAAAATGGTGACATCCACACTAACTTCTCAATGAATGTGGAACATTTTGCTATGTGATTTTGTAGCCTATGTATATTTTTACGGCCCTAGTATTTGTAAATGTAGACTTCTATTGACCACAGTGTTTTCTTTTAAAGTCTTGACTTTTAAATTAAATCTCTTTTTCTTTAAAAGTAAATATAATGTGCAAGAAGTAAAATTTGTTGAATTTTTGTAGAAGTAAGGAACCTGAAATAATCACACAAGTGTTCTCTCAAATTTTGTCCTTAAAAGAAGAAAGTTGACTTGTATTCACAACTCATTGGTGCAGTGCTCTAATGGCTCTTAATTCCCGATTGTTAAAACGACTAGTAGTTTCGATTTATTACAGTTATTATATTAGTTATTATATTAGTACTGGTATATACTGTGTGGTGGCCGAGAGTTGGTCGTGGTTTATGGCAAGCAAGATTTATGACAGTCAGACTGGGGGAGGAAAGAGGGATGAGTGCGGACATTTATTGGAAGGTTGTAGGATAGGGAGAGGGGACTATGTCACGCAAGCTAAGTTTAAGGCAAACTTTACCTATAGCCTTTCTTTGAGTGCCATCATAGTTACTGTTCTAACCGTTTATTGGCTGCTGGTATTCAATCCGAAATGTTATATCACAAATTTCTGATATTGTGGAATAAGTCTATCTCGCATTTCAATGTTTCAAAGGGGTTACTTTTCTTAACATGCATTTATATTTCTTTATGTTTATGAGTGCTAGGCCAGTTTTACTTCATTGTTAAAAATGGACTCATAGAAAGGATCCCATGGTGGCATTTGATATCACATTTCGCTATGTTTATTGCTCTGCTTAATTGAGCACATAATAGAATAAGTCCTAATATAATTTCGAACAGAGATCTAGCTTCTTGAGTCCGTAATGAATAATGTATGCCTAAGAGACTATTAACCCTAACAATAATCATTAAAACAATGTATACCCATTAGATACATTCATTCATTCATTTGATCAAGTCGGAATTGAGTCGATCAAATCTTTTTGTCTTCTTCCCTCTATTATGGTATTTATTCCATGTTGAATAGTGATGCTGTGTTCTGTTATGTCCCTGCTGTTTGCTTGATTAAGTATTAGCTAGACTGTTTAGCCATTCCTTCCTCCTACTAAGTGAATGCTCTGAATGTAGTCATTATCTAATCGTTACTGTATGCACCTGTTTAGATATTGGCGCTCTCAGACGCTGAAATCGTGAAGTTATTTATTCAGATGACGAAATAAACGAATACTGTTATTGACAAAAATACAAATATTCATCATAAATTTTTTTGATTGATGTAGGAATGGATTTACTAAAAGGTTAATAATGAAGCTAATTGGCGTTGGGCGAAATTCCGGAGGTTGCATAAGGAAAATTATTTATTGAACAAATTCGATCAACAACATTATATCAATTGGAACAAAAAATATATGAATGTGGGAATATAGAGATAAAGCATTAGTAAATACACATACACATTGATAGTAGAATTTTGAGTAAAGTAAATATTTCGAAGGGAATAATTAATATGTTTCTTACTAATTATTTACAATTTTTTTGTTTAATTCTGTTGGACAATATTTAAAGCAAAATTAATAAATACATTGTACACCAATAAATAATATATGGCAAATTTATCAAGTATACACCAGGCTGATAGGATTTACATTAATAAAAACTAACTTCAACTTAAATGACAAAATTGTAAAAGGCTTATTATAGTTAATTGGTTATCATTATGGTTTTTATTATTGCAAATGCATTTTAGTTACTTCAAAGAGTTTGTTAGTTCAGACCGAATTTGAAGGTCGTGACGCCCCGCAAACTAAAAGAATTCCTATTATTATTTTTTCACACCCTATAGAATGAATCTAGATACAGAAACTCTGCGTCAAGTATTTGACGCTCTTGATAATGGACATAATGGTTATATTACTGTTGAACAATTCACAAGTGCTCTCGAAAACTTTTATACTTCAATGTCACAAGAACAAGACGAAGGTCCTACTAATCCCAAATTGGACAGAAGGAACTCAATGGTGCATATTATTTGAAAACGTATATTTAAAACGCTTATTTAGTCCGTTGATAATATTGTAAATGCTCTGGATCCAGAAAAAGATGGAATAATATCGTTTGACGATTTTAAATCGGCTTTTCAGAATTTCTTCAATTGCCAAGGTATGCAGCGAACCCTTACTCTACTCGAAATTTAGATCGAAATGAACTAAAAGGCAAAAGTATGACAGTTAATCTTCATGGTCGTCGAGTATCAATTACGCCAGATGATTACGTAATGCAAAATTTGGAAAATGATCCTGATTTGAAAGTAAGTCATTTATTTCTTGTCATTTTCCTTTAAATCTATTTAACTGTCAAACAAATCATTGATGATTTATTTATAATGTTGTTTTCATTTTTAATAGACTGAGGATAGTGGATTTTTGGAAACTGGCCCAATGAATTATGCACCATCTCGTCCATCAACACTTCTGTAATTTAAATAACATTATTTATATCTAAATTTTCTCCATTTTTTAAACACAATATGCGAATTTTATATTAAATTAATTTTGAAAATGAAGATTATCACGGAATAGGCGACCTTCATCCATGCGTAAGTCACCACCGAGCCGAAGGTACGACTTGACTTGAAAATTCTGCCGTTATCGCTGCTACTACTTCTTCTGATGCTTGCGCTTCTAGGAAATTTGTCCGCTTTTCTGGTTTTCAAATGATACCTTTAATTACTTGTTTTTACCCCCTTGCGCCTAAAGTAAATCAAAGAGCACTCATCAATGTAGCTTCCCATTTGTTTTGGTCCTACTCATATGCTCGATGTGTAGTGCTGTTAATTTAGTGGAATATTATTACTTTTAAATTATTTCTTTTAGCATCAAGAATTCGAATGCCTCCTTCCAAGAAAACACTGTTGGGTCTCCTTTCAGTGGATCTCGGTCCGATTTGATGTATGATGACGTTGACAATAACATCGAACAGTTGAGAGTAAGTTGATTAGTATACCTGCTTAGTTATTTATCCATACATCCTGATTAAGAATTTTAAGATGGTTTTCTAGAACTTCTAGAATCCTGTTTAAAAGTATGCAATTTCCTGTTATTTGAAGGGATGAAATGTCTAGAAATTTCATAGCATTTCTAAGTTTTGTCTTTATCAAAACGACAGCTCAGTTGGGTCTTAATCTACCGTAAGGGTACGAAAGATCAATCCAGGGCACTCTTTATTAATACTAGTATTGTTGCCCTTTTAAAAAGGTGACCACCACCTGTGAAATAAGTGACTCAGTATCGAACCCCTGCATTAAATACAACATCGCGTCAGCTACTCCACCTTGCTCTCGCAAAAAAAACTTAAAATAAGTACATTATACATATTGAAACGTAGATTTAAGTACGTGAGCACTTAGGTCTATCATTCTCACAGATGTTCTATAAACTATTTCCCTCATTTTCTTTTTCTTACGTGATGTCGTAGCATTGATTAGTATCGCAAATGCCATCTTCTTTGAAGAGTAAAGTGACAATCATTTAAAATTACGCAATAAGCAAAAATTTTTCCCAACAATAACAACTTTTGATGGACACACCAAAAGAACGCTCAAAATCTTATAATTGTTTTATTTCCCTAAGTGAATTGTTTTGAGTGGGTTCATGAATATAAAGACTGCTTAAAAAATCGTCAAGTGCTTTACTGTTAAAATCGCATTCGGTTTAGTAAAATCTTTGTTCAATGAGTTTAACCTTTAATGGTAATGGATTCAATTTTTCACTCACTAACTAGATTAAATTATTGAACAGGATGGAGATAAGAATTTGCTTGCTTTGAAAATTTTCATGGATTCAATAATTCCTGCGCGACACTGGGACCTTAAGGATTTATTCATGAAACAAGCTTCAAATTAGATTTTCTCTTAGACCAAGCAGTCAATTTCGCCAACTTGTTTGTTTGATCATGGCAAAAATGAAATATGAATAACATATTAAAGCTTTTTTACAACTCTAAATATTTAATTCATCACTAGATCAACAATGAAAATGCCATTTTTCTATATTATCGATTAAATACCCCGAACTCCAGGGAATTTTCAAATTATATTTCTAATTTTTTACTGAAAGTCAACTTTTATCTCCCCAGTTATCTCAGTGTTTTAGTTTAATAATATTAAAAGATACATAAATATTGACAAATTAAGCCGATTCTTTTCAACAATGACATTCCTAACATGAGGTACTCTCTTCGATTATCAACCATTTCAACATGCCTTAGCAATAGCTTATTATTAGCGAGAACTTAAGGTTTGAAATTGTCTTTAAGCGCTTAATATTCGTCTTTTCAGAGGCGTTTGCATATTCAATAGCTTGTTGAAGTTAGAAAAAGCTAATTGTCATTGCGTGTCTTAATCTTTTGAACTACATACTTTTTCTAGAATCAAATGCGACAAATGGAGGCCAAGATGGAGTCAATGAGTTCCGGCAACGGTTCAGACAATTTGTCAGGTCGTCTTCGAGAGGAAAATGCTCGGCTAAGCGCTTCTGTGGCGGTTCTTGAAGAGCGGCTCAAGGAAACTGAAGCACGCTACCAACGTGACCTTGAAAGTGAAAGAACACATCTAGAGGCTCTAATGGTAAGTTGGAGTGAGTGGAAGTCTTACTTGTTTCTCTTTGCCTGAGTACTTTAAAAAGGCAATGAGCACATGGCTTTGCCACCATCGCTCATTCTCTCGCTTCATTGGTGCTGAAACCGTGACAACACATAGCTCAAGTTTTCATTTTTCTAACAAAGAGTTCTCTCGTGATAATTGGGCCTAATTCTAGAAATTGCGTGATTCGCTTTAGCTTCCTTACATGACACGTCTTTAGTAAAGAAGTTTCCAACTTTGTGTATTGGACCTCCACGCTACCTGGTTAAATCGATATCTGTATGTTTAAAAATAATTTGATTTAATCGATCAATTTGATTTAGTTCATTTTCTGTTGTAGTCAAGAAAGGCTATGTTTGGATAGGGATTGTACTGAATAGTGAGGAGGAAATTGGAAACTTCAATAAAGTCTATGCAGTCATTCATGTCATTGCATCAAATCGCAGGCTTCATAATAGGTATCATTAACCCCTTAGTTGACTTCGGGTTTCACAGCGTGGAGCAACATCAAATTTACAAAAAAGTCGAGAGGGGAAACTGAAGAGTGATTCGCGGATGTGAAAGAGCCAAATACAAAGGTAGATAAAACGGGAAAGGTGAGTACTGTGGAAGTGGTCGGATATGACATTCAGTGAGGTCGTGGTAGTTAAAAGTCAGAAGCTAATTGCCGGCTTGTAGACTTTTTGTCATATGAGCATAAGTTGCCCAGGGTGCACCCCCACCGACAAAAGAAATACAAGAGGTATCCATCTGACTGGATCTTAACTTCATTTAATGTCAATTTTCAAGAGTGTCGGTTGGTGCTCATTTGCGATTTCTTAATCCCAAATGAATGGAACGTACTCTCGAATTTTAGGAGTTAAGAAGTAATTCTTGTCCTATTTTTAACGACACTTAGCCTTTGCTAACAAAACCTATCAATCTCCCCCCCCCACCACCACCACCACCACCAACCCCCACAATGCATCTTCTGAGTAAATTATCTTCTCAAATATTAGTAACAGTAATGCCATTACGATAGATGTACTTAAGTGCAACAACTTACTGCAAGCTCCATCTTTTCACGTGTCAATGAATATATATATGTGTGCAAATCACCGATGTAGAACGGCCATCTAAATTTCTAAGCACAAGTGTTCTCACATTCATGCACCGGGTACTTTAAAACAATTAATTGCTTTAAACAAACTATAGTAAAGAATCCTTTATAGCACATTTTTAAGCATTAATTGTAAAATCAAAGAGTGAGAATTAGATTACACTGAGCATTATTTTTGGTTCCAACTCAACATTTATTTCCCATATCTCTTTCTTCAAAGACACTTTATGTGAAGACGCAATTCAAACGAATCATTTTTCATTTATTTAAGTAGACTCTTTCCCAATTTTATGAAGATTTCTATCTAGCCTAAAATTAGGACTTTTTCTGAGACGATAAGAAGTTTGAATGAGTTAATGATAAGGGGAGAGGAGTTTCTTGCATAACTGGTTGTCATGGAACCCATTAGAATTTGAGTTTCGCTCGGTTGACGCCCATATTGCGTATCCACCTGGGTGTTCCCACCATTCCCATGACCAAATTCGATTTTTTTCGGAGTGGATAAGACCTCAAGAAATTCGACTTGGCTTTATTAGAGCGGTGTCATAGTAACAACAGACCATGTGAACCTACCCCACTCGGTGTAATGTACTATTGAGCTTAAAATATCGCGAAAGTAGTAGTAGATCCTCTGGGTATTTATGAGCATTGAAGTAGATCGGACCAAAACACAATCTATGCGCGTTATATGCATTTAGAATTAACCGAAAAAATGTGTCAAAATCAATGCCTCTTAATTGTTATAGCCAATTTTGCGAGCTTTGCACCATTTTATAGGAATTTGTAAGAGTTTCATTAATGGAATAAGTTATGCGAGCATTGCAATTAATTTTCCCATTTTGCTAGGTTTTTTTTCCTTTTGTATCTAACAAATTTTTAAAGAAGGGAATTTAATTGTATCTGATGTTTGTACTTTTCTGATAATCTATTTCACTGTTTTTTTTCTATTATTGATTTTTGCAATTAAAGTGGCCTACGCTTGTGAAATGCACGAATTAGACTTCTTAACTTGTTTGTATTTGCCAGTACAAATATGTGTAATTGACTATTTTTATTAAATGTTCATATTATGAAAGAACAAAGAGACACTTCATTAGTTCTACCCCCTTTAATGCCATATTTATTATATTCGAGTGTTTATCATCATGGCTAAAAAAACAAAGGCAACCACTATCTCGTACTTTACTTTATTTTAATTAAATTAAAAAGATCGGAATTAATTAATTAGAATAAATCAAACTTCATTTTTTAGTATTTGATAGTGAGAATAAGTGATTCCTTTAAAAAATATTCTGAAATCATTCTTTTTAGGCTCGTTCAAAACGTACCTACGAGATGGAGACAGAAAATTTACGAGCGCGTTGCCAAAGGCTTGAGAGCGAATTATCCGAAGCCACCATAAACTTGGGAAAATCGAGAGTTGAACTCGACAGTGCTAGGGTGGTGAGTTAATATCCAAATTCATTTATAAGTAAGGGGGGAAAATGTGGTGGCATACGAGGTCACGATGTGGTTGTAAGCCATCTTTTGACCTCAAATTGCATGCTACCTTGTGTGTTATGAACTTTACAGATTAAAGTCATGGCTATAAAATGCGACCTATAGTATTTTATGACTTATCCCTGAAAATATCTCCTATTTTGCAAATGGTAGGAGGGCAAAAGGACAAATGAAGCGCTACTAGACGCCCAGGACAAAATAAATTCCCTTATGGAACAGTTAAATAATCGTTCAGACGCTGAATCCCGGGAACTAGAGAAGGCGATTGCTGATCGGGATAACGCTCTAAATGTGAGTTTTGCTTCAAGTTAAAGAAAAAATACTATTTAAATCAGGAAGGGGAGGAGATTTCTTTGTCTTCGTTTTTTCCCTTCAAGTTGACCAATTTTACTTTGTCTACTGACTTATTACCCCCAAAGCATATCAAAATTCGACATATTTGAAAGCGTCACTTGGAGAATTCTTCGTTTCTAAAATTAATTCGAGATGAAAGGACTTTTCGTTCCTTATTAATTTAATCGCTGTTAATTCCCAACTGATGATTGAATTATTGAGCAAACAAGTTACAGCCGTGTTTGACGCATTTTAATAACGTCAACCACACGCACATATGATTTTAATGTAATTATTATATGTTATTTGTGTAATTACTATGGTGTATAATAAGTACTGGAGTATTCCTTCGAAGATGCTGGTCAAACTACTTCTCGGCAAATCTTGTTCTTTGCCAATTCAAGGGTCTCCTTATAAGGACATAATTATTTAGCCCTTATAAATTATTTTTAACAAGCTCAGATAAATAATGTAGCTTTCAAATCATCTACCAATTTATGTACGCGTTCACAAAAAATTAGGCTTTAATCAATGAAATAAATATAAGTAATATTTTTTTTAAATTTGAATAATTAAACTTGTAAGCCAGTTACACAATTTAAAAAAATACCCCGCCCCCTTATTTACCACTTTTGTCTCATTAAATATTATAATTTTTGTAAAAAAAACAAATATTTAATGCTTTTGTACATTCCATGCTAATAACACTAGATTCAATTTTTTATTGAATTATTATTAATTTCTTATAGGCTCTCAAAGAAGTGAATTTCGCAGTAGGAAGTGGACCTCGACTATCCCTTGGATCGGACACCGTTGCTAGGTTAGAGGAGATGCAACAACTGATTTACAGGTTGAAAGAAGAGAACAAGACTCTAACCAAAAAACTCCAAGACGCACAAGAGGAGTCGTGGTTCAAGAATCTTAAAGAAGGTCACAACTACCTAACAGAGACTGATCAAACAGTCGAACAGGAGTTGGATAACCTTACTAAAGAAGAAGTAAGCCAATTTCACTTTCCTGTCATTAGTGATTCATCTCAATCGTCTTCACTATTTCAGTTGGTACTTTAGGGTGTTGTGTTTTTCAAACATGCCAAATCATCCTGTCTACATTAAATTGGCTGAGAAATAGGGCAATGCGGAAGTCATCACCCCCATCAGTCATTAATGATCCTTTTCACATCGCCTGAGTTAGTGTAAAAGATGTCAAAATAAGCAACGAATAGAAAATTCTGTTGAAAAAAGCATGTCCGATCGATAAAATTCCAATAATTCTCCTTTCACTCAGCCTAGTTTGAGGCAAAGTGCATTTTAGTGCTTCTTTTTAACTCTCCATTGTATTTATTATATTTGAGGGGGGGGGGGGCTAACTGAGTGTCTGCAGCTTGAAATAGTTTTAATTGACGATAATTGCTTCCAAATTTCTTTTGATATCATGACAGAATGCATAGTGAGTCGTGAATATTCCCCTTATTCGAGTTCTCCACTGTTCCTTTGTCAATATTTCCGCAACAAAGCAATCACTACCTAGAGCAATACAGGGTGCTTTTAAGGTTAAACCAAAGGATAACATTGGAACATGTGAAAGACTAAAGCAAAACATTGAGAGATAAATTTTGAGATCGATTAGAATTTCTAAGTCTAGCGTTTGTCAAGGTACCAAGCGCTTGTTAATTGTTTTGCTTGAATTAAATGCTGATTCCTGTCACGTTAATTAATTCTATCATCTTATCGTCATAAGCATATATACCTGAGGCTAGCAAGGGTATTCTAAACATGGCAGAGCTCATCTGAATGCAGACGTTCTTTCGTTTGTATTGTTGCTATTATTCTTCCAGAATCATTAAGATTCGAGCTAATACCTATGCGTAACCAGCAGACAATTCTCATCTTGGTATCGTCTCAGAGTCCCCGTTCTGTCCCAAGTCTTGTTACGATTCCTGCAGAGGTGCGAACTTAACACATCCCAGTTTCTCAAATAAGAGAAGCACAAATTGAAACTGCCCATTTGAGTAATCAGAGTGAAAGTTTAAATTTGGATTGTTTGTCAACAAAGCAGACAATACGCGATTACCTCACTCTAATAAAAGATATTTAATTATCCAACTTTGGCTACGTAAATGGTGCTGACTGTATTTCGTATGACCTTTTTGTTACCGCATATAGATCTACGCTGAGTCGCACAAGGTAAACGGAAATGCTTAAATTTATGTTGGCTTTGCAGATTTTGCAGTAGCACGTTTTGCTTGTGTAACACGAAACCATAAAATGATTACAAAATTCATTTAGTGTTTCCTTCTTTTTACTGCTGTTTCTTGGTGCTTTCTATTGCGTAATGTCTAGTTCTCTTGCATATTCACTGCATGCAGTTTTATTCATTATTCCCATTCCACACTTCAAAAGATAACGGCGTTAGGCTGTGAAGGTCAAATAACCCCTACGAGAGGCATAATTTTAGAAGTTATACCACTTCGTAAAGAATAGTTTGTTTGTGTGGCCTATCTGCATAGATAATTAACGTCTATCGTGCATGTATTAATGGTATGTTGACTAATTTAACAGTAACCAATCGTATTGTTGTCTCCCCACGTCCAATTACTAGTTGTAAAACGTTAACCAATTAATAACTTAGATTTGCTAGAATAGTAATTAAGAACTGACCTAAATTTTAGGATCGATTTCACTATTGGATGCACGAAATTAAATCGCACGTTCCACGGAAATAAAATAAAACTATTAAAATGCCTGATCTAACTTATTTATCCCTATTCCTTTCAGGTTTCGGACCTTCTAGTACAGGAAAAACACGCCAATAACCAATTGCGCGCTTACTTGAACACTGTCCTCGAGAAGGTTATGAATTATCATCCCGAAATTCTTGAATCCAAGTAGCCTGCGATCATGAGCAACATCAGTCCATCACCCACTCCGAATTCGTGGCTATGAGCATATCAACACCNTCCTTCCCCCCCCCTCCTATATCTTTTCCATTCCCATATTTGTTTTGTGGACAGTTTTACTGAGATAACCAGAGTGCCCGATACTCCGTTAAAAGTACTTGTCTTTCCTATTTTTCTGTTTGTCTATTTCTTCATTTTAACTGAAAGAATGTATGCATGTATGAGCGCCTGAGATAGCAAATAAAGACACGATTCTTGTTTTGATCAAATGCAAAAGAGACAGAACTCCATGTAACGTTAAAAGAAAACTATTTGGGTAAAATAGATAAAAAATTTTCTTACATCTTCCGTGATTTTATTCTTTATGCCCGGGGGGAAAAATGGTTTGCATGACTTTGGCTCCTTTGAATTATAGATATAAACGTGGTGATAATTTTTAATTAAAAAAAATCGAATATTCTTAAGTGGAAAGACAAAGACCGAAGTACCCATAATCAAATTTTGTATTTTGAAATAATACTTGACACTGAATGAATGGATCACTCATTAGAGATGGAAGGAAATCGAAATGGTAGGAAGGAGGGAACTGTTTTTAATCACGAGAGCCATTTGCTTATAATGTGAATTCTTCCGAATGCACGACAAAGTATGCATGAGATAATGCGGTTATGACACATCCAGGTACGCTAGGGCATAAGGAAAGTGGATTAAGAATTTACAATTCTGCCAAGTACAGCAAGAATCGTCTACTAATCCTAGTGGGATAAAGCTAATGGTTTTAGAAATGCAAGAAAATCTATCTGCCTACCCCTCCCCCACCCCTCCCCCACCCCTCCACCCCCTCCGAACGAAATCTGGTACCTTAAGCCAGTCTTAAAACTCCATCACTTAGCGCATTTACCTGATCATTCCTTTAAACAGTTGCGTGTATTTGGGAGTCACTTTGAAGCAACCAGATATTAAAGGGAAGCAATTTCTGAATATTTGAGGTATGAAATCATCCTGAAAATTATAGAGCAAACAATTTGAGCTGAGGTTGGGAACCTTTGAATTCATATTTATATCAAATGGTAGGCTTTAGGGTAGTTATTATTAGCCCTTTAGTTGACTTCAAACTTCACAGAGGTAACAGCATCAAAGTCCTAAAAGTCGAGAGGGGTGGGGAACCAGAAGAGTGACTCACAGAAGAGAGACAAACAGACACAAAGGTAGAGAAAGAAAGGTAAGATGAGTACTGTGTAAGTGGTCGAATATAACATACGGTCGGGTCATGGTAGTTTGGTGACAGAAGTCAACCGCCTATCTACAGACCTTTTGCGGTATGAGCATACGTTGCCAAGACAGCACCACATAAAGGTAGGTCTATCACACACCCTAGCTTTAAATATCATAATAACAAATATACTTTTTTCCGAA